TGACCACAAAGCACAAGGTCAGGCGGAAGCCAGAGGGTTCCACCCCTGGCCCTGCCCCAGCTGGCTAAGTGACCTTGTATGAGGACCCATAGGCTCTCGCCCTCTAGAACCTCCAGCCTGCTCATCTTCCAAGGTCCCTGTACCTCTATGGGCAGACACACAAACCCCAGCGGATGCCCAAGAAAGCCAAAGAACACCCAAGACCAGCAGGGGTCCAAGAGTCCTCAGAGGATCACGGGCCTGACCCCACCACCTAGCAGATGGTGGGGGAAAATGAGTCCCGGGGACTACAGACAAGGGACAAGACTGCAGCCATGGCCAAGACTTGACTCTGGCCTCTGAGGTTTAAGGTTGCTTTGTGGTTTTCTTTTTGCAGTACTAGGATCAAGTCCAGCCTTGGGCTCACCAGACAAATGCTATACCTCTGAGCCACCTCCCCAGGGCTTAGACCAGCCATGGTCTCTCCTGGCCATGGTCTCTCCTCCCCCTGGTAAGCCATCAAAAGTGTTCCTGCCACAGGGGCTGGGGAGATGGCTCAGTAGAATAAGCATTTGCCTGGCAAGCACAAGGACCTGAGTTCAATCCCCAGTTCCACAAAAAAAAAAAAAAAAAAAAAGTGTTCCTGCCATGAGGCTAGTGAGGATCCAATCTGTTCCCTCCCCTGGTAATGCAGGACCCTTGCCTGTCTGTCACCATCATCCTGGGCTGCTCTGCACAGAACCTAGCATTTAGAGGCTGTGGGCTCCCACTGCAGAAGGAGAAAGGCCCTGGAGCCCACAGCAACACAGCAAGGCGCTGGCCATGGCTGAGGCCCTGTTCCTTCCCCTCTTGTGGCAGGGGTCATGCAGAGCAGGCCTGGCATCAGGCAGAGGCAGTCCTGCCAAGCCCTGGCCAGAGCCCACACTGCTCGCTGGCCCTATCATCCTCCTTAACCACACACAAACCCCACGGATGTGGAGCCCCCAGCCCCAAGGGTGAGGATGACCCCGCCTGCCTACCCACCATGGCTTGACTGAAAGCCAGGACAGAAGGCCAAGGGACTGCACAGCTGACATCCCTGGAGGCAGCAGAGAGGCACAGTCAACTCTTGGTTCCCTCGCTGTCCTCCTCCCCAACACCCCATTCCAGAGTTGTCTCCTTGGCCCTCTCTGTCTCCCCACCTGTCACTCAGGCCTGGTTTGAGCAACTTTCCTTACAGGCACCATCCTGGTGACTCAGTTTTCCCTAAGCAACGTGCACACATGGGGCCCTGGAATGCAAGGTGTGGTGTGCCCAGGGTCACTCGAGTAAGCCCACTGGGTGCAGGGTCTGTGTCCAGGTCCCAACAGCCAGGGCCAGGGAACACACACACTCCATTCCAGGAAGGTAATTGAGGTTTTATTCTCTCTGAAGAAAGGGCACCTTCCATTGACAAAGTGCATTCAGGGGACCTGGGAAAACTCATGGACAGCTCGCCTGCCCAATTATCCCCAGGTGGCTGTGCTCCAGGGGAGCCCCACATTCCTTTCTGCCAGAGCCTTTGTTTCCATCTGAAGGGGCCCTGCAAGCTCCCAGGCTAAGAGTCTCCTCCTTAAGCCCCTGCCAAAGACCCTATTCACTGTGTAAAGAGGCCAAGCCAAAGGTGCTGGGGAGCCCCCCACCCGCCTGGGGGAGGGAGCTAAGAACTCTCCATCTGCATGTTTTTTCCTGAAGTCCAAAGAAACTGTAGAGCAATTAAGAAAGCCATGACTATACCCTCCTCCTCAGACCACCCTTACCCTAATTAATTCCTCTCCCATACACAACCTACTCCAGCTGGGGGATGGGAGGACCTACCAGCCTCAGCCCTGAGCACCTGCCCTGCACACCAGCAGTGACCAGGACGTGGTGAGCATAGTAGACATGGCTTGGGACCTCATGACTGTCTGTTCCAAGAAGCTTGGTTACAGCGACCAACTTTCCCAAGCAAAGCTTGGGCACAGGTTCGCTTGGCCTCCGAATTAGCCAAATGCAGAAGGTACTAGAAACCCCAGGGCTGGTGCCCCCTGGGAGCCAGGAAGCCCAGAACTCACAGGAGCCTGTACAGGGCACCCGCCTCCCCACCCGGAGCCCCCAGGGGTCCTGCACACCGCTCTCCCTGGCTGTGGCCCACCCATGCCACAGAAGCTAAGCTTCTGGACAGCTGCCCTTCCCTCAAACTCCACAAGCACAAGGCCTCTCTGAGGCCTGGAACTGCCATGTGAGCTAGCTGGGTTCCCTCAGGAGAGGACAGCCCTCCTTGCCAAGTGGAACTCTGCATTTAAGGTGGCCTCTTCTGGAAAGGTCCAGGTTTTCCAGAATTTTCTGTCTGCTCTCACTAAGAATAGGAGAGAGCAAAGCAGGCTTCCTGGTCCTTCAGAAGAGGGGACAGGGCTTCAAGTGGCAGGGGAAGTGGGGCTCCTTCCTGGGCTTTAAAACCCACTTCAATCCTAATCTCTTAAACTAGAAAATATGCCCCATACTCTCAGGCCTCCCAATATGGCTTCCTATGTCCTACATCACCCCCTGCCCTTTAAAAACCTATGGAACCCTCTTCTGTCTCCCTCCACAACCCCTTCTGTATGAAGCCCCCTTTTCAAGAAAATTTTATTAGCAAGCTCATTAAAAGATGGGTATGTTTTCCATGCTTTCTAGAAGTCAAATTGCCCATAAAAAACACATTTAAGTTACTTCATGTAAATGAATGAATAAGAAACACATGGGTCTGGTTGTGCTTAAGTCTTGCCAGGTTTTAACATTACATGGAGAAATAAGACTTGAAATATATTTGGAGTTTGGATCACAACTCAGGAGCCATAAGGGCAGAAGCCTCAAAAACTGAAGCAGCAAGTCACAGGTGGGAACTGCGCGAAAGCGGCTCATTCCCGTGAGCAGAGTCCACTGACGGGCGTGAGCATGTGCGTACGTGTGCCTGTGTGTGCGCCTGCATGAGTGTGCAAGTATGTGGTGCATGTTTGCAGTGCTAGAGATGGAAACCAGGACCTCTGCGTGCTCAGCGAGGGCCGGACCACCAAGCCCTCAGCTAAACTGTTTCCTATCTCCCCAGGGGGCTTCCAGAGAAGGCCTCCATCTTTTGCCTCCCGTGGCCACCCTGAAGCCACTGGGGACTGCCAAACACAGTGGCCCTGGGGTTACGGGGTCTTCTGTGCCTCGCTCTCTGGACAGCGAGGGTCTCATTCCGAGCTTCCTGCTCAGGGACTGATCACCCATCAAGAAATCTCCCCTGAGACTGGTAACTGCCTCCTCAGCAATGTGGCCCTTCAGTAACTCCTGTGGTCACTATGGGTGAGGATGAGGTAGCATTGGTTTCCCTCAGCCCCTCAATTGAGAACGTGGGTCTTTTCTAATCAGATGTTTTACCTAATGACACAAAATCCAAAGGAAAGTGTTTGCCTGAGGCAGCGGAACGTGCATACGGACCTGAAACCTGACCCAGTGGTGCCATTCCTGCCTCGCAGTCCTAAGGTTCTGGGTTCAATGGCCAACAACACAAAGACAAGCAAACAAAGACCTCAAACGTGATGACTTAGTGCAAGGATGGTTCTGTCCCAAACTTCTGCATGGTGGCAGCACCTGGGTGAGTGGGCTCCTGCCTGTGTGTCCCTCTGGACCGTGGTGCCCAGTCCTCTCACCCCAGCGCTGCTTGCCAGCACTGAGTGTCCCTGAGGGTGGAGCTGGGAGCCCTGGGCTTCAGCTCTGAGCAGCCTCACAGCCGCACTGCCTGAGCGAGCCCAGCTGAGAGGCCCCAGGAGCCCATATCCTGCGGCGCAAAGCTCCCCCCAGGCCTCCTCTCATACTGCTTGTGTTTGCAAGTGGCTCAGCGAATGTCAGCCTGAAGTAAATGTCACGGGGCAGAGCCTTGTGGGTGCCCTGCGCACACACTCCCCACCTGCCGCAGCCTGCCAGGCCCTCCAGGGAGCAGAGACAAGCAGGCCAGATGCAGCTCTGCTGGACTCCTCTGCCTGGTGCCCCCAGGGCCCTCAGGCTTTGTACAAAATTGCTATCCTGTCCTGCAGCCATCCCGGGGGAGGGAGCAAAGCCCCTTCTGAGTCATCTGTTTGATTAAAGAACACAGTTCAAGCCACAATGGGAAGCAGACACGGACAGCTGCACCCCTCGAGGCTGGGGCCTGGCACAAGCTCAGCCCAGAGCCCCTGTCTCTGGGCACCAGGAGTGTAGGGCTGGCATCCGGGCCAGGAACATCCTGTCCTCCTTGGTCCTTGGGTCTGCAGCTCTCCCTCTGGCATGGGTATTCAATATGCAAGCTGGGCTGCAGTGGGACTGGGCCTCCCAGGAAGGCAAGCAGGGGGTCCCCAGCAGAGTCCTGGCCCTTCACACCTGAAGTGCCCCACTTACCCTAACTCAGCACTCAGGATGCTTTGATAATTGTCCTGAAGACTGGGAGGGGATGGTGGAGCATCTCCCTTTCTTCACCTCCTCTGATTACTGATTTTATTTCAACAAACAAAAACCTTTGTACCCCATGGAGATCTAGGGTGAGGCAAGGGGCCACAGAAAGCATGTGTCCCTTGATGTGAGTACGGTGTCCAAGCCAGAGTGCAGAAGTGCCAGACTCCAGGGACAGTGAGTGTTGCCATGGTGGGCAGGAGCAGTGCCCTCTCGCAGGACACGCAGCCCAATTCCAGGGCTCTGGGCAGAATGCATGCGCTCCTGCAGAGTGAAGTCGGCGCAGCAGAGTGAGTGAGTGACTGTGTACCTGGCCCTGGCTGTCCCTAACACTGGGTGCTCCCACTTACCGTGGCTGGTGTGTGCTCCACCGTGCTGGCTTGGGCACCCAGGGGCTCCACTGCGGTCTCCAGTCCGACGCCAAGGTGTATGTGCGAAGCTGACAATATCACCCCACCTCGCAGTTGGAATGTTTCTACTCCTGCATGACCCTAGTGAAACTGTATGTGTGTGCATGTGCGTGTACATGTGCATGTGCGTGTTCATGTGTGTTAGAAAGACGCAAAAAAACTCACCCCAGACCACGTGGGTGAGCGGCTCTTCATGGAGAAGGAAGTCCTGGGCAGTGGCTCCTCAGGGTCCTGTTAATGCCGTCCAATGTCCTTCAGCCAGAGCAGCCAGTCACGGCCACAGTAGATAAGGCCAGCTTTGGGGAGGGGCAGGGAGTCCGAGTTATTGCAAGTAAGAATGGAAATGCACTCATGCACACACGCACGTGCACGTGCACACGCGCGTGCACACACACACACACACACACACACACACACACCAAGCACACACACAGCACATCTCACCTGAGGGCTGCCCTGAGGAGGTGCGGGTTCGCCGTGTGGGAGAGGTCAGGGCGAGAGTGAGCGGCAGCCCCAGACCAACAGCAAGTTGTCAGCAGGGTGCCTGGTGGCACTGAGGCCAGGACTCTTGGGAACATGGTGGCCGGGTGGGCAGGGAACAACCAGCAGTTAGGCCCTCAGGAGGAAGTATCTGAGTGGGGAGCAGGGGGAAAACCTGCTGGAAACTGAGGCAGCACTGAGGGACCTGGGGTGTGGTGTCTGGGTCTGGCAATAGGACAAAGGCAGGAGGTGGGCTGGGTGACTGCAGGTGCAGGCTTGGGAGGGGCAGAGGCCTGGCAGGTCAGAGGGCACAACAGCGGAGACTGCAGGGTGACAAAAGGCAGGGCAGCACACAGGGCCTCACAGGGAGAGAAAACAGGTGAGCAGCTAGCCAGAGGCAGAGCCTGCAGGCGCACCCTGGGGGTTCCCTGCCATCTGTCCTGCCATGGGACACAGGGCCCAGCTAGCAGGGTGTGGGCCAAGGAGCTGGACTGGGCCCCTGAGGGGATATTGGCAAGGGAGGGGTCCACTTCACACCCCCTCAAGAGGGAGACCTGTGTGGCCATCACCAGGACACACACAGCCACTCACATGCACCAGGGCCGGGGTCTGGGGCAGGCATCCACATGCAAGATTGGGCATGCAGCACTGGGCATGCAGGGCCAGGGGACAGGCAGGTGTGTGGCATTCATGGAGACCCAGCGGGTCACCAGGCCACCTTGCACCCTCCCTCACTTCCACTACAAACCCAGAGCCTGATGCTCCAGCACTGGGGACACCTCCCCGGCCAATCTCCCTGGGGAGCAGAGGCCATCAAGGGACATGCTAAGTGACAGGTGCCAAGCCCGAGGCCGGGGCCATGGGCATGCTCAGTTAGGATCAACTGTTGAATGATGGAATGGACGCGCGGATGAATGCAGGGCAAGACCTGCAGGCCCCCTCCAAACAGGGCCAGGCTGGGAGCTGCTCCCCACCCCACCCCTGCGGCCCCACCCTGGTCCTGGACCCTGAGCCCACCTGCTGCTCTGCAGTGGCGGTCGTGCTGGCATTCATCCACCTGCCCAAACCTACATCCCACATACTCTAACTGTGCCCCACTCTATGCCAGGCTGGTGCTAGGACACCAAGAGGAGGGGGAGGCTGGCCTAGGACACCCCAGGAGGACCACATGAGTGGGGGGGCGAGAGAAAGAGAGGCTGAGATAGCAAACAGTACAAGAGGAGCAGGAAAAGCAAAAAGCAATTCTGAGAAAAGCGTGGGGTGCTTTCTGCACCACACTGGCTTCATTTCTGTCTCATTGGAGCCGAAGCTTCCTGCTGCCTCCTAAGCCCCCACCTCACTTGGTGATGTTCTGCGACTCCAGGGATCAGCTCAGAAGCCACCTGGCACCTGTGGAGTGGAGCTGTTTCCTGTCCCAGAACAGCCTCAGCAGCTCCTGGAAAGCCAGGGAAGAGCTCAAGACACAGCCCTGCACCTCAAGGGGCAGTTAGCTCAGGTCCCTCCCTGCACACGGCCTAAGGGGACTGCCGAGGGGCGGGTTCCAAGGCACACTCCTGTACAGCACCCAGCACTTAGGAGGCTGAGGCAGGATAGCCCTGAGTTGACAGCCAGCCTGGACTACATAGTGCAACCCTTTCTTTAAAAATAGAAAAAAGGGGCTGGGGAGATGGCTCAGTGCAATAAGCGCTTGCCTGGCAAGCACAAGGGCCTAAGTTCAATCCCCTGTTCTGCAAAAAAATAAAAATAAAGTAGAAAAATAGAAAAAAGAAAAAAATGAGAAGACAGCTCAGCGGCACCAAGTCAATCCCAGGTACAAAAAAAAAAAAAAAATCCAAAGCACTTGGAGCCTGGAGACTCTTCCCAGCTGTGAACTCCCCTCAGGGGCCACCAGGGCACTAACAGTGGCTCTGGGCCCTGTATTTCAATGGTTAAAACATGGCAAAGGGCAAACGGGCTATGAAGGTACACACCTGTAATCTTAGCTCTGGGATGGGGGGAGGGGTGAAGCAGGAGGACTGGGAGTTTAAGCCCAGCCTGGGCACCTTGGAAGAGTCAGGGAAACCCTCTTAAAAAAGCAGGGGGGGGGGTCTGAGGGTATAGCTCAGCAGTAAGGCCTTGGGTTCAACCCCAGTTTTAAAAAAAAAAGCCTCTTCCAAATGTCAGACTGTTGGGTTTACTCTCCAGTAGCTGTGGGGAAGGATATGGCTGTGAGCCATCAGAAGCCCCCTTCCTTTTCCGAGGACAGGGTAGAAAGAGGCCACCTGAGGCTTTGGCTCAGGCTTGTCTCCTAGATCTGGGGTTCCTACCTGGGAACTACCCATGGGCTGCCCCCGGAACCCCAGAATCATTAGCCAAGGACTCCCTGAGGGAGGGGAGGCCCTTCAAGTTTGGCCTAATATTAACAAAATAAAGTAAGAGTAATAAAGGTTGGGACATCTGGCTCTGGCCACCTCCCTTCCCCTCTAGTTATTTTCTACTTGGCCTAAGGCCTGTTGAGAACCTAAAGTCTAACTGGAGTGATCTAATTTTGATTGAGCTGCCTTAGGCTGAGACATCCCGAATCTGGCAGACAAGGGTGGGTCTCCTGCTCCAGACAGCCCTGCTCTACAGAGATGAATAGGCTCATCCGTGTAGGGGGTGCAAGGCGGCGGGGGTACAGGACCTTGGTGTATGGGACACAAAGGGTAGAGATGAGCTACGGGCTAGGAGGCCACACCCGAGATGTGGTGCTAGGCTCAAGATCACACCGGAGCTGCCCAGCCACTAGGTGTAGTGCGGTGGGGGGGAGGTAAATTCATTGTTTGGTGCTTTTGATTTTAAGCCAAGATCTTACTATGTAGTTCGGGGTACCCCTGAACTTACCATGCAGCCCAGGCTGGCCCTGAACTCCTGCCTCCACCTCAGATTCCAAGTGTGTACCACCAGGCCCAGCTAGCCCTTGGCTGACCTATCCTGCCTTTCCACTGCCCCCTAAGGCCCAATCAATCTCACCAGTCTGTAGTTGCCAAATTTGAACCCCCAACTGGCTAGCTTGGTGCTGGGGTACTACCTTTCTGTCTGGACCTGATGGGGCCTGCAAGGCAGCTGGCTGGAGGTGACCCCATCGTGCTTCCAGCTTGGCCCTCTGGCTGCCACCTGCTAGTCTGAGTAAGGTCTGAACACTGGGCCCTGTGCGCCCTGAAGCAGGTCTGGGGCGTGCTGGAAACTGAACCCGAGAGCCAGGTGCAGGAGTGCACACCCTGGCCAGGTTCAGCTGCAACCTGGGGGAGCAGAGTGACACCGTACAATTTAAGCCATCTGCTGCTCTGCTTTTTACAACCCCATTCAATGGACCTGGAGTAGGGCAGAGGCACAGACTTAACATGAGGGGGCAAGGGGACATCAGCTGTAGCCCCAATTGGAAGGGTTGCTCCTGCCCTCAGAGGCTGGCTCCCCTCGTTATGATAATCAGTGCGTTTCCCCCTTTGCAGACAAAGAGGGCTCCTCATGAGGCGAACATTGGAATCCAGCCGCTACCTCATTAGTGTCTGAGGCCTCTTCCTTGACAAGGCCCAAGATTAGCCCTGCGTTCATTAAGGGACAAGGGTGAAAGTGGAATAAAACCAAACCCCAGCTGGGGGCGGGGAGCGCTTTTCTGCTGGCCATTCATCCCCTATCTCACTGCTCAGCCCTGGGGACTTAATAAAAAGCTGGGCTGGGCGCAGTAGGATGCAGCTGGGAGGTAAAGGGGTTAAACTGGGTGGAGGAGTTTAAACCCAAAATGGGGAGATTTGATTTGAAAACCTGCTGTGGGGCCGGGCCCTAGTTCAGTTCTTTAAGTGGCTGCTTCCACAAAGCTGTCAGGCTCAGGTGGCTGTGGTTCGGATCCCCACAACTCGAGCCAGCCAAACCTGCCCTGAAGGCATTCGGAGCAACAACAACAACAACAAAAAAATCCTTCTGCAAGGGGCCAGGGAGATGGCTCAGTAGAATAAGTGCTTGCCTGGCAAGCACAAGGGCATAAGTTCAATCCCCAGTTCCACAATTTAAAAAAAAAAAGAAAAAAGAAAACCTGCTGGCATTTGACATTGAGTGACCAATTTAAAGGCTTCCTCCTGTTTTCACTCCTCTAAACTAATGCAAGCTAAAGAGGAAACCTTTTTCTGGATGAGTTATGGGTGGTTTTAATATTTCCTAAGTCTCCTTTTCCCATTTTTTTTGTTTTGGGTTTTTGTCTCTGGTCTTTGATGTCTTTTTACATGGGTCTTATTTCTTCTCTCTCCTACATCCCTCCTGTCTGTGGCTCTTCTGGTCTTTGGTCCTCCCGTGGGAGCTGGTAAGAAAGCTTAGACCCACCTTTGCCGCGGCACGACTCCTCCAGAGCCTTCCGCAAGCCCCTTCCCTAGCCGTGTGGAGTGCTTACCTGCAGCGAAGCCCATCGCACATGGCCTGCAACTTGTGACTGAGACTGTCAGGGCACTTGGGAGAGCTGATCTACCCTACGGTGCTGGACTCGAACCCAGACCAGCCAGCTCCCGAGGGCTCAAGGCAGTGCCCCGAGAGGCAGGCTCTGGGCTGGAAGGCCTGGGTGCACCGTGCACAGGTGTCTGAGTGGAGTATGTGTCCCCGGAAGTGAATCGGAGCCGCAGAGTCTGTGAGAAGGTGCAGATGTGTGTGGTGGCTGGAGACGTGTGGAACTTAAGCTACAGAGACTTTACCTGGACGAGACTGGCGAGTGGAGCAGAGCGGGCGGAGACATGGGTTGAAGAGAAGATGGAGGTGAAGAAGGAAAGCGGTGCAGACAGGGCTCCTGGAGAAGCTGAGCTGCGAAGGAAAGAGAGAGACTGGAGTGGCGAGAGAAGGACAGGAGGGCCCGGGACTCAGGCCTCAGGGAGAGCAGAGTCCAGGCAAGGAGGAGGCAGAGATGGAGGTGCAAGCCGGAGACAGGTTCAGGTCTACTGTTGGATCGAAGGCACTGGGGACACGGGAGCCAGATCGGTGGAGCCACTTGACAGCCTCTGTGTCCCTGGGTGGTGACAGGCCGGCCCTGGGTCAGGATAGGAGTTGTGAGGATCAAATGCATGGACAATGCAAAAGGAGACCCAACCCTCACCGCCACCACTCACTGCAGATGCCACTCACTGCAAACAGCCCCTCCATCCCGCAGCCCACTAGACTGTACTATCCCTGAGCCCCGGATGGTCTCCAGCAGGGAACTGCATGTCCTGAGTGTTCAGGACATAAAAACCAGACGTAAAAGCTTCTGCCTGTCTCTGAAAGACAAAAGGTGCCCCCCAATAGCCTGAATTAACTCAAAGCGAGGCCCCGCCCACTTTATTTGTTACCTTCCAAGCCACCCTCCCGCCTCCGTTTGCCCCCTAATCCAATCAGGCCTTTTCAGAGGCTGGGCAGCTATTGTGCACACAAGCTGCGCTTCTCCAAGGCAGCCCAGAGTCTTTTTTGTCTTGTCCGGACAAAACTGGTTGGCTTAAAAGGAGACCAAAGAAAAGTACTGGCCAAATGAGGACCCCAATTAGCTTGCAAGACATTGTTTTCATTATCTTTGGAGCCCATACCTAGCCTGGCACGTGAGGCATATTGTCAGCATCTCAGGAAATGTTTGCTGAATTGATTCCATTTTTATTGATTCTGAAATTTATTTGTGGAGTGCAAACACCCAGAGAACCTACTGGGCACAGACTGATTGGGAAAGGGGCAGAGGGCCGGGCAGGGGCCACCAAGGGACAGCCAGGGATATGTGTCCTGCGATTTCCACAGCAATTTACAAAGCACTTTCCTAGCAGTTACTTCATTTGGCCTTCAAAAGCGCCCTGTGGGGTAGATAAACCAGGATTGGGGTTTTTAATCCCCACTTAGGCCACGGAAAGGAGAAATTTAGGGACTTATCAAAGGTCACACTGTTGTTAAGAGGTGGACCTAGCACATGAAGCTGCTCTGGGGCCACCTAGGCCCCCAAAACCACCCTGGACAGCTGGGATTTCAGACAAGCTGCCCCACTTTAAATGTTTGAATGGAAATATAAGAACTCCAGGCCAGGGGCCAGGAGGGTCACCTGCAGCTTTGACAGCACCCAGGGCCCAACTCTGACCCCTCCTCTCGCTGGGGTTGGACAAAACACTGACACTGGTCCCCTTTCGCTTTCTCCATAAATGTGTGTGCAAACCGTCCCATGGACCTGTGGCTAAGAGCCTGTGTCCCGCCTACCTTTTCCAGATTAAGCAAAGCAAGACCAAATTCACCCTGGCCTGCAAGCAAGAACACCTGGAGACATGTGGAGATCCTGCAGGAACTGCGCGCTCATGTTGTGTAGAAAGTGCCCTGGAAATGAGTGTGTGCATAATTCATGATCTTACTCAAGTCTGCCCTCTGGCTGGTGTCCCTGTGGCACCCCTGCCCGATGCAAGGAGAGCCCCTCAGGGGGGGCTGTCGGGAGTCTGTGGGAGAACAAGGAAGACAAGTAAGATGGAGCACAGTGCGACAGGACAAACCTGGCAGATGCTTCAACAAACATTTGCTGACCGCCTCCTCTGTGCCCCCCTAGATCCAAGTTGCTTTAGATCATTTAATTTTTTTTTTTTTTTGATCATTTAATTCTCACAACCACCTAGGAGGTCGCCCCTGGCATCCCTGCTCCTCGAGAAAGGACAGGGAGGTCCTGGGAGGGGGGCATGCCTTTGGCAGTCAGGCACATGCTCATTCCAGAAGCCCACCACAGGCTCTTGGCCCAGGTCTCCCTCCTGAGAAATCCCCAGAGGGACCCTCCACTAAAACAGTGTATGTTGGCAGTCAGGGAAGACTGACACCCCCAGGGGAGGGAAGCACCAGTTGGCCAGCAGGCTCCCGAGCAGGTACACACAGGGCAGGAGGCAGAGTCAAGCCACAGGCAGGGCCAAGGTGGGGGAAGGCCCAGTGCCCCCTCACTAGGGCACTGGTGTTAAATCTTTAGTCCCGTGGGACAGTTGCTGGTCCGTTCCTGGCGTCTCCATGTTGTCCTTCCAGAGGCTGGACCTGGGACTTGCTGGTGTGTACTTGTAGGCTGCTGATGTCCTGGGCCATATGCAAATGAGGACCTGCATAAAAGCCCAAGGCCAGGGATTAGTCACAAGTTTAAGTTAATTAATAACATTTAAATTCACTAATTAAAAGTTAATTGTCCTTAGTAGCAAATGGGTCTGGGGGAGGTGGTGACCAGATGGCAGGGCCCGCCATGCTGTGTTCAAGACCCTCGAGGGGCTGAGGTACCGTGAGGAGAGGGCGGCAGGCAACCGGAAGCAGCTTGGTATCCAGGGTAGGTGGTCCTCGAGGAAGGGGTGAGTCCGTGATGTCATCTCCAAAGAGACCCTATGGCATGGGAAGGGGCTGGATCAGAACCATCTCGATGACCTCTAACGGCCAGCACAGGAACCGCAGAGAGAGGGAGGGGGCAGCTGGAGGGAGAGGAGGAGGGAGGGGTACCGGGGAGGGAGGATGGGCGGGGGAGAGAGGGATGAGGAACCTGAGAGGGGAGGGGGCAGAAGATGGGAGAGCTGAGGGGAGGAGGGGGGAGGAGGGGAGGAAGGGGAGGAGAACTGGGAGGGGGGACAGAGATGGGAGGGGGTAAGGATGACATGATTGACAGGTCATAAGTGTTCCACTGCGCGCGCCTGCGCACCTCAAAGCCAAGTTAGCGGACCAGGAGCCATTTGCAAGAACACACCGCTAGGGGGCACATAGCCCGCACCCGAGTCAAACCAACAGCGCAACCACCTGCGGCGCCCCGCCCGCGCCAGAGCGCAGCTGCTAGGCCTGGGATGGTGAGGGTGGGCGCGGGGCGCCCAACAGGTCTCCGGCCCGTGGCGCACAGCCCACCCGGGCCGTCGCAAAGGACTGCTATGACTCCAGATGGCCTCGCCAGCTGCCACCAGCCAAGCGCACTACGAAAGGAGGCTGTGCCCCCCAACGCGAGCCCAGAGGGTCTTCTGCGCCCCCTACCACCAGGGTCGCCTCACGCTAAAGACCTAGGATAGCAAGGAGCCCCGCCACCAGGGTCTCCCTAGAGCGCAACTCCATTTGCGATAAGAAAAACCAGATACCTTCGGCAAATCCAATTAAACGTAAATTAATTACCATGGAAAAAAAGCCCAGCTCTCAGTACACCATTTTGGCCCGTAACTTGTGGTCTCGGGATACAACATACAATAAAATAAAGGCAAAAATAAAATAAATAAAAATAAATAAATATTAAAAAAATAATAAAATAAAGGCAGACCACCCGGATCTCCCTCCTTCGCCCCAAGCAGCGACGCTCCCACCCCCATATCTCACTTCCTCCTACGCCACATACTCAAGACCCTCACTGGGGCGCCCTCATCCTATTTCCAGTCTGCCCAAAAGCCACAGCTTCGGAGACCCCCAAAAACCAAAAGCCCCTGAAATAAACTAATTGCGTACACGCACTCCCACGACACCTTAACATGCACAACCAGCGCGGGTGACGCAGCTCTGCCGGAGCGAATCCTGCAGGCGCTAGCAGCGAACCTGAAGACCACAACCCGCCTCCCCCTCGGATAGATGAACCCGGAATAGCCCCCCAGTAAAGCCTGTGCCCGACCCCTCCAGTAGAAGAACAAAGGCCACCTCCCCTCCCCACCCCGCCCCCCAAAATTCCGCAGTGCCTCTCGCGCCCTCTTGCGGCCAACAAGAAAACCTTCTAGAAACCTGCCACGTAGCAGCCCTCTTGCGCCCCCACCCCAAGCCCGCCAGCTCAGGCTGGGGAGGGGGCAGCTTGGGGGGCCTTGAAAGGGACAAAGAAAATGGCAAAAGGCGATTTTATCAAAAGTCAAAAGCACTTAACACGCCAGAACCTTCCAGCGACCATCATGCGCAATACCGACAAGACGCCCCCGTTCGTCCAGTTCACAGCTCACAGACTCGTCTCAACACACCCCCTTTTTCTGTATTTCTCCCTCTTCTTCTCAAACCCCAAAACACGACCCACGTCATGTTTTCTATTTCACCTATTCCCCCAACCAACCCCTTGGTCCCTGCGGGACCTCGCATCTTTGCCGAACTAGACCTGGGGGGCGCCTGACAGGTTTGCGCTTGGGCACCGCATCTCCCCACGGCGCAGCGCGGCCCCGTGAGACCCACTGGGTCCAGCTCACATGTTTGACTCCGTTTTGCCTTGAGCCCACCGGGCTCCAACCCTCGGTGCTAGGCTCGGGAATCCCTAGTGGATAGGAACCTCTGCGTACCTCGCACGCCCACCGCCCACCAGAAGACGGGGGGCAAAATATCCCAGACCCTTCTGCCAGGTGCTTGCCCCCGGTCCCTGGGCATTCACACTGCATCATCGCCGTCTCTCCCGCCATGAACATGATCGTAAAGGCTTGTTCGAACCCAGAAAATTGGATTTTTGGACCCCCGTGACTATGAGCGTGTTTGATCGGATTCCTCCTGGCTTCCCTTCCATCTGAGACACTGCCACCCAGCCTGCCCTCTTGGACTGGCTCAGAAAATATCCCTGCTATCCCCCCAGTGGGAAAATGTGCCTGGAGCTTCCCCTCCTGACAGAATTTCGTGTCCTGATGCTCGGGACCAGGGCAAAAAAGGCCACCTTCGGGAGATGTTCCCCGGCATCGGTCTGTCTGGTGTCCAGGAGGACAAAAATGCAGGCCGGTGGGGATGTCATCTTCGTTTTGCACATCCTTCAAGGCAAGGATGGCCAACCACTCACCGAGCGAGGCAGGCTTGCGTGGGCGCCCCGACTCTTCGGAGGAGCTGCGCCAGGCCAGTGAGCCAAGGCGCGCTCCATCGCAGCTCGCCGCCGTCTGCGCTAGGGGCTGGCTGGGTGGGGTTTATATTGAGGCGCAGAGGGGGTGGTCTCTGACGTCAGCGCATTCTGCTGCAATGCGCTCATTTCTCTAAAAGTGATTGGCCGGAAAAATGAGCCCCCCAGATTCTATGACAAATTGCTCTAGCCGCACCCAGATTGCAGCAAAGAACGGAGGAAAAAAATCTGCCGCAGTGCCCCTGGCCGCCATGACCAACACCCTGCGGTCGCGGGTGTTTTTTCCCTCCGTGATCCCTGATCACAGGAGGAAGGGAGATGTGTGTTCAGGATTTGTGATGAAAGCACCCCCAAGGCAGGGTCGTCCCTACAGGGGCTGAGCGCGAAGGTGGGATGCCCGGGGTGTGCGGGGGGGGGGGTGATCGCGCAGGATCGCTTGCCATTTCTAAGCATCGATCAGAGGATGCGGATTTAGGAGGAAAACATGACGTTTTCTGCTTATTGTTCTGGAAAATAGAAAGCCCCAAAGCGAGATAACTGACCCCCGGATGTTGCCTAGGCGGTCGCCCCCCTCCAGCCCACCCTGTTTCTGACGCGTGGACATGAGCGAGTCAGCACAGCATCCTGCAAGCCGAGAAACCTGGCTTGGTGTCTCCGGGCTCTGCCTGTTACATACAACCTGTGTACCCGAGACCGAGCAAACATCTCACGCTCTTCCCGGGGCTACGGGCTGTTTCTTCCACTTAATAAGGGGGTACCCCCAAACCTAGACTTTAGTAAGTACTACGCACATGTGAGCCGTGTCCACCTAAGAAAAGTACTTTTCCAGTGAGGACAGAGTCCCGTGTGGCAATGCCTGGAGTAGCCCCCTCTCCCAGACTGAGGTGATTCTCACACACGTACACTTGAGAAGAGCAGCCCCCTGCCTGGCCACCGCTGCGGCTGCCGCTGCAGCCACCACCGCGCGCCCGGGAAAACGGGCAGTGACACATGTTGCTGCGGCTCTAACTGCACAGCCTTGTGCTTAGGGACTTGGCACATGAGAGTTAATCCTTAACAGGTGGCCTTTGGGCAGCTCTGCCAGGTCCCCAGTGGCAAAGTGGCAATGCCGTCAATCAGATGTCCTCTCAGAGGTCAGAATGCTGTTGAAAAAGACGAAGGATCTATCTTGGGGTGACAGGTGGGTGGCAGCCGGTAGGAAAGAAGGAGGGTCTGATTATAGAAAAGGGGTAAGAATGCGCTGCGGACCCCAAAGGAGAAAGCCGAGGAGCTCCCCCCGCCCTCTCCCCGCCATGGTATCAAGTTAGAAAGCTCCCCCACACTTCTCTGGGGTTTCCGGGCAGCTTCGGAGCCAGACCCCCATGCCTAGCGATGCTGAGAGATGGCGTCATACAGATAAGAGATCCAGAGCCGGAGGAAGGGAGAGACAACTTCCAAGCTGGCTGGGAAGTGGAAAGTGACTATCAAATCTCCAGAGACTTGGAGCCCGGGGCAGGGGGCGCCCTTACTCTGGATCTGACTGTGCTTGGGGGCAAGAAGATTTGAGACACTGGGGGCTACTTGGACACCTCAGGTAACGGTAACGAAGGGCACTCCGCCTACAGCCTGTGGAGACGCAAGGAGCCCCCAACACCAGAGCCCCCAAAGCAGCACTTGCAAAAAGGCCGAAACCAGCCGTAAATATCAAGAAACCTTCAAAAAATCATGGCTCCAAGAACCCTAGTCAACAGGAGAACATTTATTAGCCACGGTATTAATAGCTAGGAAACAGCCTGAGCTGGCCGAGGCCAATCAGAAGGAAGGAGCCCCTGTCGTCAAGCCCCAGTGGCCAATCAGATACCAGCAGGCCCAGTTGCTAGCCTCTGGGGGCAGAGGCAAGGGGTGCGCGTTGTAGCCCGGTTCTTGGGCTCCTCGGGTGGGAATGGAGGCGGCCACCAGAGAGCATCAGCAGACACGCACTGAGGGCCCTGGAGGAAATCTTAGAGCTGGTGCCTGTGCGCCAGACCTGAAACCCAACATGGCCTGCGTTGGTGCTCAGGTGGGAGCCTTGGCCCAGATTGGTGTGTCCTGGGCAGACAGGAGGGAGGAAGCTTCTGATACCCAATGTCCAGCGTGTCTCCTCAAGACCTGGCACCCAAGGGGAAAGTCGGGCTTCCCAATGCAAAATGGGGCTCTCAGCTGAGTGAGAGGGCCCTGGTTCCTGAGCCTACTGAATAGACGCTAGCACAAATCCCAACCCTTGCAAGGCCTCTGGGCCTTACTGAGAGGAGAGGCCAAGGTGAATGACCCTCCTAGAAATCATGCATTTCTGAGGCAAGCACTGTGGGTTTGAATCTCAGCTTTGCTCCCTCCTTGCTGGTAGGCTGGGGTCCAGGCCCTTCCCCTCTCTGAACCCCTATTTCCTCATCTGGAAAAAGGAAAGAGTTGGACCAGAGGGTCCCCAAGGAGCCTTCGAGTCCTGCTTTGCTTGATTTGAATGTATACATCAGGCGAGTCAAATGTCTTCCAGAACATTCTGCATGACAGTAATTAGTATCAGGTGTATCCTGCAGTCCATGTGGTTATTTCATCATGCTGCTTTTCTTTCCATTGTATTTTATTTTAAACAGAACTCCATGGCAACATGTTTATACTTCTGGCTTCCTAAAAGAAAGAGGAAGATAGGTGGAAGAAAAGGCAAAAGACGAAAGAAAACCCTGCAGTAAACCAGTCTCCATTGCATATGGTTGAACCACACACACACACACACACACACACACACACACAAAATCCATACATTTAAATGTTTTTGGTTGTCTTTTTGGAGCTCAGAACCTAACTTTTGAAATGTTTATTGGTCCGAAGGCAATGGAAGAAGTTTTCCAAGAAGCCAGGCCGATGGCCACATTCAGATCTGACAGTTCCTTGTCACCCTGGGCAAGGCCGCGGCAGCTCTTGTTGCTCAAACAGGACATGGGAGAACTGAGATTCGTATCTGCAGGAGAAAACAGACACGGAAATCCAGGGTTGAGCCGCAGAGCACTTTCTCTGCGTGCGTGCTGAGACCCAGCTCTGCAGGCCTGGAGGGGAGCCAGTTCCCAGACGCCTAGCTTAGCCTGCTGCTGCTGCTGCTGCTGCTTCTCCTGCTTTCATGTCGATCTAACTCAAAGCACACATTTTTTTCTTCTTTTTTTAAACTCATACTTAGGAATCCTCAAAAGCCGTGTGAACAAAGTCTCCTACCCACACATACATACTTGCGGGCAAGCTCGCAAACATCCTAAGATGCAGCCAGGAAGTGAACACAAGGTCTTCTTTTTTATCTCCCAGGCATGGGTAAATGTTCTTCCTAGAGAAATCCCTCCTGAATGCTGCTGCGAAACAGCAGACTCCGAGAAGGGTGCGCCTCTCTAAGCAGCTTTCAGGGAATTCCAACTCCCTTAAATGTTAGAGACCCCAGAGTTCCCCTGGAGTGGGCTTCTGCCCTGCCCTAGGCAGCTGCGATGATGGCTACCATGCCAGTTGGTCCTAACCGCTAGCTCCCTTCCCAGCGTCTGGCACTTTAAGCCCCCAAGACACAGTTCTATGCCCAGCCTAGCCCACTATAGACAGAGAAGCTGAGAGTGCCCAGATGCTGTTTGTTTGTTTCTTTGTTTGGCCAGAGTATGGCACTGCCAGGCACAGCCTCTCTGCTTGCCAAAGAGACAAGACCAAGCACCAAGTAGTGAAGGGTTGGAAGAAATGGTGACCTGAACGGCCGCCATATCCTCTGGGGAAATGGTGGCGCTGACTCCCTGAAAGTGGCTCACCCACCCCGACCTCCTTATGGCAGCAGAAGCATCCTTCTTCCTCCAAATCTGACTTCAGGGTGCAGCCTGAGCCCTTTATAGAGGAGTTTGCTGAAGTACAGATATTAACAGAAAAATAAAGTTCAGTGCCTTTCCAAGACAGCCGTGGATAAAGATTACTTCCCAGGAGACTGCTGGGCTTCCAGAAAGCACATGTATGTGAATTTGGCCAACCCGGCCATTCCCATTGGCCAGTAGTCACCCAAGAGAAAATGTCAACAGTGAGCTCTTTTCCATCTTGACACTGAGGCACACAAGTCAGAGACAGAGTGACACTGCTTTTCTGGAACAGTTCTTTTAGTTAATACCAATAACAAACTAGCTGGAGGAGGGCAGGGGAGGTGGTTCAGTAGAATAAGTGCTTACCTGACAAGTGCAAGGACCTGAGTTCAATCCTTGGTTCTGGAGAAAAAAAAAAAAAAAAAACTAGCTGGAGGCCCATATTGCCCCAAGCGATCCATTCACTGTTCTGGGTAAGCAGTCTGGGTCACTTTTCTTCTTTCTACTTTCATGCATTTCCACATCGGCAAGTATTGCTTTCATAATGCCCATCTTTTTAAACAAATGCATCAGCCCAAGAAGGGTGACCATTTTAGTCTCTCCCACAGAAGCCTCAAGTAGAAACTCTTTTTCTAATAAATAAATAAACATGAAGAGAAACAGGCCCCATCACCTTAGTGCATAAAGCACTTCTCCAACAGGAGTGCCCACTCCTGGGCATGCAGGAGGAGCCAGGTAGCTGTGCCCGCTTCTGGAAGGGCTCCCTTGAACCCGACACCGAGTGAAATGCTCTGGTCCCCACAGGAAGGACTGAGGGAAACCTCACTGGACAACCAGGTGGGCCTGGCATGGGGGCTTGGGGGAGACGCCACTGTCACATGTTGGATTATAGTGTCGATATTTCGACACTAGAGAAAGGTGGCCGCATCACCCTGCTCTCTCCCCACTGCAGCCCCCTAGCTTTGGGGCTGGGCCAGGCCCTGATCCAGGCAAAGGGGTTTTCTTGGCCCAACTCCATGGAAATATTTCTTTTGGTGCAGCAAAGAACTGCTTCATTCAGCTGCCTGCGGCTAGGGAGGGGCTTTTTTCGCCGTGTTGACACAGAGCAGGAGGCCGGGGGAGGCCCCAGAGGAGAAAATGTATTCCAGGTAGAGCAGGACTGGAAAGTTTGCTTTTTTTTTAAGCTAAAGGATTGCTGACAGTT